AATTCCAAATTACACATAGTAACTTTTTGTAAAACATTTCGAAGGTTATATACATCAAGCTAATGCATGTACATATAAAAATTAAAAATATGGTTTTCAAAAGTATTATATATTGCTTTTAAAGTTTTATTGAACTCTATTGAACATGGTTTTATATAAAGAGTAGGCAGATAAACCCAACCACAACACTACCTACAAAGATTTTGCATGTTCTCCCTGTGTCTACATGGGTTTCCTCTGGATACTCCAGTTTCCTATCACACTCCAATGCTTCTAGGTTACTTGGCTCCTGTCTAAATTGGCCCTAGTATGTGTATGCATGAATGTGAGGTAGGGAAGTTCAATTGTAAGCTCCTTGAGGACAGGGACTGATGTGAATGTACATTATACACAGTGCTGTATAAGTACCTGTAAGAAATAATAATAATAATAATAATAAAAAACTGTCCATCTAGTCAATAAATGGCAATAAAGGGCAACCCCAGCCAGATGTCACTTTAGGTCAATTGCTTGAGGTGATTGTAGCCGTATTAGTGCACTTGCGACAGAAACAATTGAGTACTGACGTGATACTTTTTTATTTGCACTAATACAATTTTGAGGACAAGCTTTCGGGGTATGTCCCCTTCTTCAAGGTCCAAGCAGTAATGATGTCAATTGAAAGAATTAGATGGCGCTAGACTCTGATGACAGCTAATGCTACACTGATGATCTCTGTAATACTGTTTTCATTAAAGTGATATTAAAGGCTCAGATTGTATTTTTTTTAAATAGCAAACATGTCATACTTACCTGCTCTGTGCAATGGTTTTGCACAAAGCAGCCCTGATCCTCCCCCTCTCGGGTCTCCTGTCAGTGCTTCTGGCTTTTTCCCCACTGCTGAGTGCCCCAGAGCAAGCTGCTTAATGGGGCGTGACACTTGTGCATGCTCACTCCGGAGCACTGCTCTGCATGACATGCAGCCCCAACCCCCACTCCCTCCTCATTGTCTGTGAGTGACAGCAGTGGGAGCCAATGGCTCCCTCTGCTGTGTCTGAGCCAATGAGGAGAGAGAGAGATCTTGGAGATTTGCTGCTCTCATACACAGTGCTGGATCATGATCGGGCTCAGGCAAGTATTGGGGAGGGCTAGGGGAATTTGCATGCAGAAAGTTTTTTAACCTTCAGGCTTAGAATACATGAAGGTAAACAAAAAAACCTTCAGCCTGGAATGTCTGAAGGTTTCTCCAATTTGATCTCTTATTAGACAGGTTACCTCAAAAGATATGTTTGGATTGCACCGACTCTCTAGTGGTTGCGGCACCTTCAGCCTTCAAACCCTGGTTGACTCATGTTTCTTCAGTGTTCTACTTTTTTTCTAGTTTGTCTTACACATACACCACAAAATGTTCTGGCACATGATCTTATTTCTGAATCTTTCTTGATTGTACTGTCAGCTTGGTTTATACGTGCATTTGGAGAACAAAAATAAATTAAATAATGTAAAAGAAACAAAATACTTAGAGTATACTGAATACTGTCATTACATGAATTAACCAAATATAATGAGCAGAATACACAATTTTTCTCAAAAGCAGTCCTCTGTATACAGTGCCTTGAAAAAGTATTTATACCCCTTGAAATTTTCCACATTTTATCATGTTACAACCAAAAATGTAAATGTATTTTACTGGGATTAATGTGATAGACCAACACAAAGTGGCACATAATTGTGAAGTGGAAGGAAAGTGATAAATGATTTCAAAAATTTTGTACAAATAAATATCTGCAAAGTGTGGCATGCATTTATATTCAGCTCCCTTTACTCTGATACCCTTAACTAAAATCTAGTGGAACCAACTGCGTTCAGAAGTCACCTAGTTAGTAAACAGAGTCCACCTGTGTGTAATTTAATCTCAGTATAAACACAGCTGTTCTGTGAAGCCCTCAGAGGTTTGTTAGAGAACATTAGTGAACAAACAGCAACATGAAGGTCAAGGAACAAATTAGACAGGTCAGGGATAAAGTTGTGGATACGTTTAAAGCAGGATTAGGTTATAAAAAAATATCCCAAGCTTTGAACATCTCATGGAGCACTGTTCAATCCAACATCTGAAAATGGAAAGAGAATGGCACAACTACAAACCTACTAAGACATGGCCGTCCACCTAAAATAACAGGCCGGGCAAGGAGACCATTAATCAGAGAAGATGCTAACTCTGGAGGAGCTGCAGAGATCCACAGCTCGGGTTGGGGAATCTGTCCACAGGACAACTATTAGTCGTACACTCCACAAACTGGCCTTTATGGAAGAGTGGCAAGAAAAAAGCCATTGTTGAAAGAAAGCCATAAGCAGTCCCGTTTGCAGTTTGCAAGAAGCCACGTGGGGGACACAGCAAACATGTGGAAGAAGGTGCTCTGGTCAGATGAGACCAAAATGTTTGGCATAAAAGCAAAATGCTATTTGTGGTGGAAAACACACTCTGAACACACCATCCCCACTATGAAACATGGTGGTGCCATGTTGTGGGGATGCTTTTCATCAGCAATCTTAGAAGAGAACCTTTTAGAGGCTGCAAAAGACTTGAGACTGGGGTGGAGGTTCACCTTCCAGCAGGACAACGACCCTAAACATACAGCCAGAGCTACAAGGGAATGGTTTACGTCAAAGCATAATCATGTGTTAGAATGACACATTCAAAGTCCAGACCTAAATCCAATTGAGAATCTGTGGCAACTTGAAAATTGCTTTTACAGACGCTCTCCATCCAGTCTGACAGAGCTTGAGCTATTTTGCAAAGAAGAATGGGCAAAAATGTCACTCTTTAGATATGCAAAGCTGGTAGAGACATCCCAAAAAGACTTGCAGCTGTAATTGCAGCGAAAGGTGGTCTTATCATTTTAAAGTATATTAAATAAAGGAAACCTGATTGCCAGGTCTAGTTCAATTATGGAGTTATTCATTCAAAGAGTCAGAAATGTAGCTTTAGAGCAGGCCCAATTGTGAGCATATGACAAAACTAGTTTTTAGCTCATAGTTAACCAGTGGCAGTTTACCCTCTCCCACTTTCTGAAAAGCAATCTGCGGTGGAACACTTGTCAGAGTGCAACTAAGCAGGTGCTGTCAGGAATTCAGGAGTTGATCCTGCTGCATCCTGAAGGCCTGTTTTTTTTGCTCCATGTGAACAGCCCCCTCTAGCTGTATTATAGGAGGGTGGTTGGGGAGCAGAACAACCATGGCTCAACTGCCTGTTTTTACTATCCCCAGGCCTCCTGCACAAAAGAAGTCTTACAATTGTAGTAATGGCCACCTGTTCCACAACTAAACAGATTCTAACACAAAGCCAGCTTATATTCAAAACATTTCAATCACATATTTAGTTCTACATCAGTTATTGGCAGGACATTAGATGAGTCCTCATCTTGTTTCCTTCCCTTACAACAGATGTGTTTGTTTCTATTTTTGCTTGGAAGGCTTTATTCTTCGGTTCATTGTCTTAAATAAATTGATTTAATAATTTCATTGATTAAAAATAAACTTCCGTCTGTATGACATGTTAAGCAGGATATAACTATTATTTCCTAGCCCCCCATTTGGTGCACAGACGTCTTAAAGTGGGAGTGGCTTCTGTACTGAATAATTTTTGGAACATGCATCAAAGAATGCAGTGAGATCAGTGGTCGCCCTTGAGTCTTAAGTCTTCTGCGATCGGACAACTTCCACATGTTTTTCTATTTCAGATTAGGTTCAACACAGATGGTGAATTATGTGTTTGGAAAAGACCCAGGTATTCCATGGAGTCAATGAATAGAGTTGCAGTATGAGAAATGTATGTTCAGGCCAGGGATGTTGGATAATATGGTTTAATGGTTAGCGTTATGTCTTAAAGATACATCTATATATAAAGAAAGCAGAGGTTACAAGACATTTTGCATTATCCAAACACAATGCATATAGAAATCAGAAATGGTTACCAAGCCTAAAAAAACAAAAAGTGACTTTCTGAATGTTAGTAGTAGTTTTTGTGTTGGGGTAACTGTACTTTCATAAAAAGGTTGGAGACAATCAAGAGAGGGTTACATAAAAGTCTTTGAGGGCTCACAGCGCAGGCACAGCCATTGGCGAGGTACAATTTTGGCCATAAGATGTAAACCTCTCAACAGTCTGTGCCTGCAATACTAAGATAAGTATGCAGTTGAGGTGGAAGTTGGGTAGTTTGAACCAGTGTTAGGGAGCTCTGGCGGTTGTGCCCTTCCCAGAATAATAATTGGGCTTCAGCACGCATGCAAAGGATGAAGAGGACCTGGTGTGGACACTTTTTAAAGAAAGGCTGTGCAGCTTTGGGTAGAACAACACAGTGAAGATCGCTGGAACCAGGACAGCAGTAAATATTGGACCATATGGGCTGCATTCAAGGTTTGGGGGCATGCCTTAAAAGACACATTCTATCAAATGTAAGCTGTCCTTAATGGACATTAACAGTGACAGTCCACTATTTTTGTCAGGTTTGTGTACTTTAATAAGGTAAGAGGCCAAACACATGGCAAATTGACTGAGCATCTAAACTTTCAAATCAATTTGTTGAAATCACAAAGCAAATGAAGGCATAAAATGGGGGCTTCGATCAAACACAAGAAGATGGGATCACAATTGCCCCCAATGAACCCAGCAGGGAAGAATGAGAATTTAAATATTGTATTCATGAAATGCTTTAGGGGTTAAACTGATTTCACTTACTGTCAGGGGTTGTACTTTAAAGTATAAAGAAGTGGGGTTAAATTATGCTGTTAACTTTGTTGTTTAAAAGTTAATAATACATGAAAAATATAACAATATTTTTCCTGCAGGGTCGATGATGATTATTTTGCTGTACATTGCAAGCTTTGTTCTTTGTGCCAGTGGACAACCATTGAACAATAAACAAAGGAAAGGAGATCACCAGAACATAAGGTATGTCTGTAGCATACCAGGATTGCCAGGGCCTCCGGGATCCCCTGGGGCAAATGGATTAGCTGGGCCACATGGACGGATTGGCCTTCCAGGAAGAGATGGGAGAGATGGCAGGAAAGGAGAAAAGGGTGAAAAGGGCGATGCAGGTAAAGAACATCTGCTTGTTGTTGCTGAAATAATATCAGAGAGCATTGTATAAATATTACTACAATGTATATTGAAGGAAAAACAGCAGGGAGGTTGTTTTCTAAAGGCAAATAGTTCACTTTCCAAGGAAATCTCCTCTGACTCTGACTACCAGCATTCAAGTTCATAAGCAAGCAAAACTATTGTTATTTTTAATTGGGTAATCTTTAAAAGATGAGTTTTCGCTACATTCACTAAGCTAAAGGTTATTATTTGTATATGTCCTTCAATGGCAGAACCAGTCTTAGGACTGCCTCGTCTAATACGTTTCACATAACCATGACTTATTATGGATAATCCCTGATTGGGTGAAATGCATTAGAGGGAACGGCCCTAAGTTGGTAACAGTTATTGACATTTTTGTGGTTGGTTTGCACAATATACATGGGTGCTTGTGATCAATGCGATGAGCAGTGGCTCTTCTTTATCCACTTCCCAAAGGCCCATTGGCAGAAATACTACTACAGGGCGGCACGGGTGCACAAAATCACGTATACATACGTGATTTTGCATTTCCGGATAGGGGGCGCGCGCAAGCAGCCTGCGCGCCCTACCCGTGCTGCCATTCACAGCTGTCAATCATCAGGTCCCGGCCGGTGATTCCTTGCTGGCACCCAGTGATTACCGAGGATCTCCAATGGGGATGAGGACTGTTTTGTTTACTAACAGTTCTCCTCCCTGTCAGCTCGGGCACACTGCCTTAGATGGCTGTGCACAGCACAGCCATCCAAAGCAGTGTGCTTACAGTGAAGCACACAGATACTGCCCCCTAGTAAAACACACCCAGCACACAGTTAACCTTTTGATTGCCCCTCAGTTCCCCCCAGTGTCAGAATGTCTGCCACAGTCCCGCAGTCCTGCTATAAGTTGCTGATCACCGCCATTACTAGTAAAAATGAAAAAAAAAAATACCAGTATATATACCGCCATTTGTAGACGCTATAACTTTCACGTAAACCAATAATTTACACGTATTGGGATTTTTTTCAGCAAAGACATGTAGCAGAATACATTTAAAATACCACAAAAAAAAAGCTCAATTCATGGGGAAAAAATGTTCATTTTGGTGCAGCGTTGCATGACCGTGCAATTGTCAGTTAAAGTAATGCAGCGCCATGACGCAAAAAATGGCCTGGTCAGGAAGAGGGGTAAATCCTTAGGAGGGCAAGTGGTTATACTGAAGTAAAATCAGTGGGTTTAGCTCCACATTCAGTCTTTAACATACAGTTGCAAGAAAAAGTATGTGAACCCCTTGGGATTACGTGGAGTTTTGCATGAATTGGGCATAAAATGTGTGCTCTGAACGTCATCTAAGTCACAACAATAGAAGAACACAGTCTGTTGAACATAATACTACACAAACATTAGATGTTGCCATGGTTTAATTGCACATAACACGTAAACATTCACAGTGCAGGGAGGAAAAAGTATGTGAACCTTTGGACTTAATAACTGGTTGACCCTCCTTTGGCAGCAATAACCTCAACCAAACGTTTCCTGTAGTTGCAGATCAGACCTGCACAACGATCTGGAGTAATTTTGGACCTCTCCTCTTCACAAAACTGTTTCAGTGTAGCAATATTCTTGGGATGTCTGGTGTGAATCACTCTCTTAAGGTCATGCCACAGCATTTCAATCGGGTTGAGGTCAGGACTCTGACTGGGCCACTCCAGAAGGCATACTGTTGCAGCCATTGTTTAGTTGAATTACTTGCATGCTTTGCGTCATTGTCCTGTTGCATCACCCATCCTCTGCGGAGCTTCAGTTGGTGGACAGATGGTTGTACATTTTCCTGCAAAATGTCTTGATAAACTCTGGAATTCATTTTCCCATCAATGACAACAATCCGTCCAGGCCCTGAGGCAGCAAAGCAGCCCCAAACCATGATGCTTCCTCCGCCATGTTTTACAGTGGGGATGAGGTTTTTGATGTTGGTGTGCTGTGCCTTTTTTTCTCCACACATAGTGTTGTCTTCCCAAACAACTCAATCTTGGTTTCATCTGTCCATGTATATTTTGCCAGTAGTGCTGTGGAACATCCAGGTGCTCTTTTGCAAACTTCAAACATGCTGCAATATTCTTTATGGACAGCAATGGCTTCCTCCGTAGTGTCCTCCCATGTACTCCATTCTTGTTTAATGTTTTCCTTATTGTAGTCAAAAATGTTAGCATGTGCCAGAGATTTCTGTAGGTCTTTAGCTGACACTCTGGGATTCTTCTTTACCTCATGCAATTCTGCGCTGTGCTCTTGCAGTCATTTTTACAGGAAGACCACGCCTAGGGAGAGTAGCAACAGTGCGAAACTTTCTCCATTTGTAGACAGTCTGTCTTACCGTGGACACATAAACATCAAGGCTTTTGGAGATACTTTTGTAACCCTTTCCAGCTTCATGCAAGTCAACAATTCTTGATCGTAGATTTTCTGAGAGCTCTTTTCTGCGAGGCATGGTTCACATCAGACAGTGCTTCTTGAAACCAGTAAACCCAAAACAGGTGTGTGTTTTTTAAGGGCAGGACAGCTGTCAGCAACACATCCAATATCATCACACTGATTGGAGTCAAGGTTGGCTCACTCCTGGCTCCAATTAGCTCTGGGAGAAGTCATTAAGCTAGGGCCTCACATACTTTTTCCTCCCTGCACTGTGAATGTTTACATGTTATGTGCAATTAAACCATGGCAACATCTAATGTTTGTGTAGTATTATGTTCAGCAGACTGTGTTCTTCTATTGTTGTGACTTAGATGACGTTCAGAGCACATTTTATGCCCAATTCATGCAAAACTCCACGTAATCCCAAGGGGTTCACATACTTTTTCTTGCAACTGTATATATGTACTATATAAATGTATCTAACAGAAACAAATCCAAAGGTGATTAATATGTATTGCAAAGTCGCTACCAAAATCGTTTATGAACATACTTTTAAAGCTTAACTCTATCCCATGTAGTTCCATGACTTACTGTACAAGAAATGGGGGTACAGGACAGGAAGGCACAACAAAACAATGTCAAAAATGTTAACCCTACCCCACTGTCTAAAATGTGTTTTTGTTCATGTCTCTGTCTTAGTTGGAGAGATTCCCATTACTTCCTGACGTCTGTTGCCTTTATGTAATGTCAGGAATTAAGGGTACATTTCCAATAAAGGATACAGATGGCACTAATAATCTGACATAGACTCTAACCCTTTCCCACCCTATCCAAAATATTTTGGCTGCAGATGAACTTTAACAATAAAAATGTATAGGAATATCTTCTCAAAAATTTACTAAAATGTTAAAATTTACTCAAAACATTCTAAGTCTTTTGTTCATTATAAATAAATGTCAGACATGACGTCTTTAATCTGGTACACTGTGAACATATTTCTTATGCCATAATCAGAAGTCATTCAGATTATTATTTTTCTTTGCTATTTGTAAATTTGTAAACCCATGCCTGATGAACAATTTTGACATTTCTATTACAGGTTTGCGAGGAAAAACAGGACCACTGGGACCTATTGGTGAGAAGGGTGATCAAGGAGAGAGTGGAAAAAGAGGACCTAATGGTTCACATGGGAACAAAGGGGAAATTGGGCCTGATGGACCTGCTGGACCTAAGGGTGATAAAGGCTCAAGAGGAGACCTGGGAGAACCTGGTGTGTGCAAGTGCGGAAATATTGTGCTTAAATCTGCTTTTTCAGTTGGGATCACCACCAGCTATCCACAAGAAAGACTTCCAATCTTATTTAACAAAATAATCTTTAATGAAGGAGAGCACTACAACCCATCCACCGGAAAGTTTATTTGTGCTATCCCTGGAATTTATTATTTCTCTTATGACATCACTCTTGCAAACAAGCACCTGGCTATCACCCTTGTACACAATGGAGAGTACAAAATAAAGACATTTGATGCCAACACGGGAAATCATGATGTTGCCTCAGGCTCAACACTTCTTTACTTAAAGCCAGAAGATGAAGTCTGGCTTGAGATTTTTTTATACAGATCAGAATGGTTTGTTTTCAGACCCCAGCTGGGCAGACAGTTTGTTTTCAGGATTTCTTTTATATGCAGATACTGATTATCTGAATGCTTTGTCTGATGATGATGACTTATGATGCAGCTTAAATTCCAAACACAGTCCCGATTGTTTCATGAAACTTGAATGGAAGCCAGATCCTGTTAAAAAGTCTATGGATTTTGCTGGAAGACTAAGGTCTGCCTCAATTCCTTTAAAGGAAACTTTGCCATTGCCAACTTTTTTTAAAAGCTGGATTTTCCCTAGTTGTAATTGTGAAACAAGTGTGCACTCAGTTACGTCAGAAATCCCACCTGCATACTTGATCAGTGACATACTAAGAAGTAGCCAGAGAAAAGTTGAAAATGGCAGCCAGCTACAATGATAGACTCCTTTTTAGTTTTGACCCTGGACAAAGTTATCATTAAGTAGAAAGATGCATTCTTCTATAGTTGCTAATTTTACAAGGCTTCATAAATCATAGGCTTAGGCTGTATACATTTCCCTATATCTCTCCATGTCAAGGTGAAGCCCTACCTTCTCTTGGTCCTAGGTTCTGCCTCTGTTATTCAATTGTCAAATGAAAAATCCTCTGTGGCCAGTTAAGGATCTGGTGAATGAAATGAGGAACCTTAGTGCCAGTATCACGTGGGGCTTAATGAACTGGAGAGACATTAAGATCCCGCATTCAGCCTGGGCCTTGGATCCAGTGTCCTTCTCAGGCACAAATATAACCACAGGTACTAACTAGGCCAATAATATGGGCAGAAGGGAGCAGGGACAGAACAGCCTGTAGTTGGACTGTGGATTTCAGGAGTGCTATGCTGGGGAATCATATGCAGTGAGAGGCACATAGACGCATCAGATATTCAGAGTAACCGTGACTTTAATTCAAAATTGTCCCAACAGGGTTGCCTTAATTTACAGAGATGAGATGATAGTCTCTGAGTTGAACAGTTTCAGCTACCACCACTTTACCTTATCCCTTCTCCATTGACATGGCCAAGTCCTATGTTCTTGTTAGTATGCTCTATGTTTTCCTTCTTCAATAATATGTTTCAGCTTTTCGTAGGCTTAAATATAGAACTATAGGCAAAACCTCAAACTTCATTTTGGATAGCATAAGTGAGATTTTTTTTGTCATCTGTGTCCCATTGGGGAGATTTACCTTCACTGGCTGCTCAATAGCCAAAACAGGAAGTGAGAGGAAAACCCTGCATATTAAGGGAATCCCTTGGCACCCCCCGGGTCACCATTGGAAGATTTCTCCCAAATCCAAAATTTGGGATTTTCATTTACTTTCACTTTCAATGATCATGGCTAACAGGTCAAATAAAAAGAATGAATCTCCTTAGCAGGGACACAGACAGCAATAAAAAAAACCTACTAGGTGTTTTAATCCCTCACCACTCTGTCTAAAACATAAAAAAAGTTTTGCCTTCAGCTATACGGTAACTTACTGGAATAAGAATAAAATATTTCCTTGATCAGTAAAAAAATAGCATAACGATGGATAATTGGGATAGGTTTTTATTCACATTTCTTAAGCAAGTAGAATTGGGTTGGTGGAGGTAACAAAAAAGTGTTGTTTCTGTCATTTTTTTATTTTGGATAGAGTAGGAGTTAGTTAAAAACGAAGGTTTTTTTTTTGTTTTTGTTTTGTCATCTGTGTCCCATTAGGAAGATCTCCCATGATTGCTATTCTGTAGACTCAACAGAATGTGAGAGAGGGGTTTATTTACTAAAGTTGGAGAGTGCGAAATCAGGTGCACTTCTGCATAAAAACCAATCAGCTTCCAGGTTTTAGTGCCAAAGTTTAATTGAACAAGCTGGGGTTAGAAGCTGACTGGCTACCAGGCGCAGGTACACTGGATTCTGAGTGAACCAGATTTAGGCTTGGTTCGCACCTATGCTTTTTGCTTTTGATCCATTTTTTATTGCTTTTTGCATTGTGTTTGCATTTTTACACACTTATTTTTGCTGCATTTTTTCAGCTTTTTTCTCTGTTAAAGTTAAAAAATTTTAGTTGCTGAGCAGGAAAAAAATGCAAAAACGGAGCAAACTCACAGCAAAAACGCACTACATGCATTACAGCAGCTTCTCCATTGAATTCTATTGTAGCACAAATGTTGCTTTTTATGTTTAAAAAAGTCCCTGACCCTTTGCAGTAGCTCAAAAAAGCAAAGATGTGAATATGTCCCATAGGAAACCATGTTAAATGCGTTTCTGCAAAAAAGCACTAAAAAATGCATTGGTGTGAACCAGGGGTTAGTAAATCTCCCCCACAATGTCTCTAAAATGTGAAACAAAAATCCCATTTTAGACAGTTGTCAAAGTAAAAGGTTTCCCCATTAGAAGGTTTCCCCTCTATTTTTGTTTTGGTGACAACTAAAAATGTTGGATTTACCTTCACTTTTGAAAAAAGTACTGCATGCAGTAAATTTATTTTGTAAGTATACCACTGCACCACTGCAATGCAGTGATGTGAATTGAGTAGCAACCAAAACAAATTGCCTTGTTTGTGCGCTGAGAAAGGATTCTCAATAACTCCCAATGCAAACGATTTTTTCTCAGCATTTTTTCTTGTACAAGCAATCCTAGTAGCTAACTAGCTACCCTCTGGGAGCCCAGGACTAAAGATGGCAGTTCTGTCAGCTTACCAGAGAGGTGATCAGGGGGCCAAAACATCCCCAATCATCTATATGGTGTAGGAAACCAGAAGTGACAAGTATTTTGTCACTTCCCATTTTAACAGATGCCAACGAAGCCATCTTGGTGTGATCAGATGCTTTCAAGGGCAGAGGAGACATCTGGGGTCTATTAGAGTAAATAGTACCTATCACAGCTTATTGTTATCACAAGGGATGTTAACATTCCTTCTGACAGCAATAAAAGTGATTTAAAAAAATGAAAGAGACTGTGTTAAAATAACAATCAAATAACTATATAATAAAAAATTAAAGCACAGCCTCCCAATGAAATCACAGATAAACATGGTGGCGCAGTTCCTGGTGGAGGCCACCGTGCTTGTGTATAAAGGCGAACACACATGTCAACCCCACTCACATAAGTAAACAGTGATCGCACTATACATGTGAGGTATTTCCACAAACATCAGAATGAGAGCAATAATTCTAGCACCAGACCTCTTCTGTAACTCTAAACTCGTAACCTATAAAGGCTTTTAAAGCGTCATTTATGGAGATTTTAAATACCTTAGTCTGGCACCATTCCACATGCACAGTTTTAAAGCATGTTAGATATCTATTTACTCAGCATAACTCCATATTGTTACCAAAAAATTGAGTGTTATATTGTGTTTGTGTGCATTAAATTAATTAAAGTGTATTTTTTGCAAAAAATACTGCAGGTCAAAAACCACTGCGCCAATGCAGTGTAACATAAAAAGATTGCAGAACCCGCCATTTTATTCTAAAGGACCTCTGCTTAAAATGAATATATAAATATATATACAGTGTTTTCTAACAAAAAATACAGATTTTTAAACAAAAAAATGTCAGAAAATGCCTGGTCTTAAAGTGGTTAAAACTAGCGAAATGGGAAAGGTGCACAGAGCAAGGCAATATACAAAACAATACAAACAGGGTCCCCAGCATGTTCTCAAGCTTGCCAGCAAAAAAGAAAAATAATCTGTTCAACTACTCAGGTTAAAGACAGAGATTTTATGTGCATACATTTGCAAATACATGTGGAAACCACACTGCCATGTCAAGGCCTTTCTGATAATTGTGGTTTCTAAATGTAAGCTATCTGAGTTCCCCAACCCCTGGCAAAAAGTATGGAATCACCACTCTTGGAAAATGTTAATTCAATTGTTTAATTGTGTAAAAAAAAAGTAATCACAGACATGCCCCAAAATTATTTTCATTTAACATTCCAACCTTCTGGCTTTAAGAAACACAAATAAAAAAGAAAGAAAACTGTAGTCGATTGCAACTTTTTTTGCAGATCAAGCAGAGGGAAAAAATATGGAATCACATCTGAGGAAAATATTATGGAATCACCATGTACTTTACAGTTCTAAAACAAACATCTGCATCAGATTACATCTGCAATTTAGTCTGCAGTTAAAAAAGAATGCTTGCACACTTTGGTGAGCTGTTGCACCAAGCTGATTGACATGAATCATGGCTCCAATACAAGAGATGTCAGTTGAAACAAAGGAGAGGATTATAAAACTTCTTCAAGAAAGTAAATCATCACGGAATGTTGCAAAAGATCTTGGTTGTTCCCTGTCAACTTTGTCTAAAATCTGGACCAACTACAAATCAAATGGGAAGGTTGTAAAATGGAAGAGTACTGGTAGACCAAGGAAGGCATCAAAGCGTCAAGATAGAAACTTAAAGCAATATGCCTTGAGAACAGAAAATGCACAACAAAACAAATGAGGAACAAATGGGCAGAAACCAGAGTCAATGCCTGTGACTGAACTGTAAGACATCGCCTAAGGGAAATGGGATTTACATACAGAAAATATATTTACGTGATTTTGCATGGGGGACAGCGCCCTACCCACGCTGCCATTCGCGGCAGCGGCTGTAAATCACCGGGCCCCGGCCGGTGATTACCCTCCGGCGCCCGGTGATTACCGAGGCTCTCCGATGGGGAGAAGGGCTGCTTTGTTTACTAACAGTCCTCCTCCCTGTCAGCTCAGGCACACTGCTCTGGATGGCTGTGCACAGCACAGCCATCCAGAGCAGTGTGATTACAGTAAAGCCC